ATACTTCAAGGGCACTCAATAGAAAAAACCTAAAAAGAAACATATTTCAACTATATAAAATGTTAATTATACTATAAAAATAACTCTTTATTAAATTTATATCATCTTTAAAGTAAATACACTTTTGCAAGTTAAAATTGTTGGTTTTTAAACTAGAAGTTGGTTCTTAATTCAATCTCTATAATGAGAGTCAAGAAGCATAAATAAAAATATAAAGGGAATCAAAGAAATATTATATCTGTTTGTTGGGGGAGTAAAATAAGAAATAGACTGTCATTTGTGGTACTGAGAAAAAAGATGCTCAATTATTGCGTAAGCCACCTGGAAGATGTTGATACCTTTCTCTTAAGCAATGAGAAAAGATCCTGTTTTGGAGGGTAAGGAAAGAATTATCCAGGCTTCTTTCATGGCTTCTTTTATGTTTTCATAAACAGAAAACTAAACCAAAATGGGAACAAGTATTCATCTCATAGATGTCTCATGGCACATTGTGTTGGCAGAGAAACAATCTGGCCATTCTTCTCTTTCCTTTATTCTCATTTTGGGACTGCATAATAGAATCTGTAGCAAATCTAGTCCCATGCTATTTCTGCCAGTAAGTAGGTTGCGAGCCATGTGTACTGATAACATCACTGTGTATTGTTTTTATAACATGGAAGACTAATATATATTTTTAAGAATTAATGTAAAATTATTCACACAATAAGATCTACTATCCTTTCACTTTGATTGATATAATATGACTTCAAGTCAGTTTCAGGCATAAAACTTATCTTTCTGTTACTCTAAAAAATATTATTTCTTCAGGGAAACTAAAATTTTATGGTACTTTTGCCAACCCAGGATTACATAGTTCTTTGTGGATTCACAATTGCTCAGGCAGAAGAATCTGGAAGTCCTAATGTGTGAAAATTCTGGGTGAAGAGCTTTCAGAACTCTTCAAACCATACCTTCTTTACATGAAGAGGGGCATGGTGTCCAGTCGCTATAGGGAGTCACAATGCAGTCCTTCCTACAAGGAAGTAGACAAGGCCTCACAGTTTCAGGCCGAAGGCTTTCAGGACACCTAGAAACAGTAAAAGGAAACTATTTGGCCTCTACAATAAAGCCAGAAAACCAGATAACTTTAGAATTTCCATTGCTAAAATTGTAAATCTGTCACCAAACTGCATTATTTACCTTCCAAGAGACTTTCTGCTTTTGTCAACTAGTATTCACACAAATCTGTTCTTTCAAACTGTATCTCAATAGACATCTTAAGCTACAATGTGGAGATTTAATAATAGCAATTGTGTTATCTAGAACAAAATATAACAGCTATAATTTTTCATCCTTTAATAATCTCTGTACCAGCATATAGTGTACTATGCTTTATAAGAAATTTTGTGGGATTCAAATTACCAATTTAAGGACCCAATTCTAGATCTTTGTATAACTAAACAGGCCTTTTGCTTATTGTAAGTCTACAGGTTATTTTATACTCTCTTTTAAAAAATATGTTTAGCATAAAATAAATGTGTAGTGGAGTATATTCTTTACACGGTACATGTTCAAAAAACAATAATGTATCAGCAGTTGTGTACTTCAAAATAAATCATAATTTAGTAAAAATGTGTAAATCATTACAATAAATAATTTTGGTTTTTTTCTGGTATTGTTTAGAATATGTTTTCCTTCCATTTTTCTCTAGTTTTAATTATGGTATTTAAAATGTTTTTGTACCTATAGTATCATTTTTGAAGCAAAAAGGAGTGGGTACCTATAAATAAAATAAAAATAGTTGATCAATAATAACAATTTATTAATAAGTAACAGGATTGAAAAATACTGTATGCCACATTGGAGAAGCCACATTTTTTTGTAGACCAAAATAAATCACCTTTTATCAAGTAAGTTAATTAGGTTTACAGAACTGATCTATGAGTGAAAGAAATCAATATCATTTATCTATTTCTCAGAATACCTTTACATCATTTTGATATATTTTATATGTAATTATTTATCTATATGCCCTTTCTCATATACAAATATGAAGCTTTATTTAATTGTATAGCTACGTGTTCGCTTTTCTTTAAAACACTTGGACTGATTTGGTAGTGGATTTTAAAATACATAGGATTTCACATTTTAATACAAAATAATCTCCTTGGTTTATGTTGAAGATATGGTTGGGTTTTCCTGATTGCTGTGACTATTTAAAGTTGTGAGCAACAAAGAAATTAGCATGTGAATCAAAAAAACTAACAAGTTGTTACAATTTAGATTGTAAATCACTAGAATTATAATTTATGTTGATTTTTTAAACCAGAGATCATTCTGCAGTAAAATCTCACATATAATCCAGTTCTTTTGAGACTAAAAAATTATTGGTCAGTAATTATTATTGAAAGTACTCCTTTTCAATAAGGCAATTTTATGACAATAATGATGGGAGGGCATTACCCAGTCGTGTGCTTTCCAAATATTAACCTTGAATAAATCAATAGAATTTACAGTGTTATCATTAACAACCCTCAAATATTCTGTTTTAGTTTAGAAATAGCCACAGCAAGATACTTGGCTAACTGTGGAGAACAAAATTACTAACAACAAAGTCATTAAATGAACACATAAAGATAAATTATACAGCCTAGACTACATTCAATAAAATAAATTCAGACTTCTTTTGGTGAGGCAATTGGTTCAGTCAACATGTTCCTTTCTTCCCTTATACTGTTTGTATTTAGTGTTTGTGGTTTAAATCAAGGAATTGATTTTTCCCCCGCAAATCTTATTCAAAGTCAAATTAACCAGATGTGATAGGAGTTGAAGTTTGTTACTTGGGAGGATAGATAAGATCAATAACATTGATTTTACCATTGCATGGTAATATATTTTATTAAGAGGAGTTTAAAACAAGGTTTCTATTTGCGTTTTTGTTTCAAATGACCAGTATTGGAAAGTGTTCATTGAATTTAACCTAGCATTTAGAGAAAAGGGCAATGACATTTTCTTCTGAACTCGGAATACTTGCTTAATTTTCCAAAATTTTAGGGGCAAATCTCACTAATCCATAGATGTACCCAGGTCACTGAATATAGGCTGCAAAGACAAAGGTAGTTTTAAATGAATTATTGTGGTGTTCTGACATGGGATTCAGGACACTCTTCTATTGAATGATTTAGTGATGTTAACCCAACAGTGTCTTTCACACACAGGCTTGTATTCATGTACCCCCATCAGCCAGCAAAAATGTTCAATGGCAACTTTTGAAAGGTAATTAACTGTAGAACAGGGACAGAATGAGTTCACTTGTAGAACAGTATAATAACCTTCATCCTACACCACAAGTAGTTGGTTCTGCAATTCTGAAGTGAATACAAACTTGCAACTTCCACTCCTGTTGTTGCTCTCATTGAATTTTAATTTACTATACAATAATCTCCTGAGTCAGATTCATCACAACTTAAGCATAATTTCTATTAAAGTGTTGGTTTGTGGCTACCTATTGAACATGTGGGATGTGTTCTCAATTTATTAAAGTATTTTGGTATATACTTTCTAATGTTTTCAAGTTTCAAATGATATAAACAAAGTATGGGGCTATGTTTAATGTCTGGAGTTCTGTCCAGATAAAATCAACTCACAATGAATGGGATTCTTATTTATCTCCTCTGGACTTTTCACTTAATTAGATTAATTGTTTCCATATTCTAGGAATACTAAGAAGTATCTTAAATTCTCATGAAAAATAATGATCTAACATTTATTGAGTGATTAAATTGGTAATTTTTCTCATTGTTTTCAAGAGACAGAAAATTGAGGCCAGAATTAATTATTCAGCACGCTTAAGAACACATACAATAATTGACCACTTGATTAGTTATTGGGAAAATATGAGGAGACATTTATACCTATGGAAGGTTGATTGGTTTTACTTCTCATGATCCATATGACTAAAATGATTTGACTGTTTCAGAATTTATGCTCTTTAAATTTCAAAAACAAAACAAAATAGGTTTTCACCCTCAAAAGGATAGCTTTCAGATTTCATTTATTAATTTTCTCTCAAAATTGATTATTCCAGTTGTGCATTGTTTGTCTTTGTTTGTTTTTATTACAAAGCACATATAATATACCAACTCTCTGGTTCTTTGTTCTTCCCTCTAGCAAATCATTTGCCGTGCTATTACAGTATCTGTAACCACTATGAGAAACTGATAGTTTTTCTACTTATCATGACAGTCATCTTATCCCAAGGCTGTCTCTTGGAAGTAAAAGGCTTACTCATTTAACCACTGAAAGATATAATAAGTTTGGCCTCAGTGTTTTTGATAAAGTATCTTCTCGGGGAAATGAAAGGCATATCATACAAGGCTACTACCCAATTAAAGTGGATTGGCAGCCTCCATAGCCTACAGGTATATAGGAGGTCATGGATGACCTACATTGCTAGGACTCTGTATATTGTCATTATTGATCAGCCAGGCCTAGAGCAAGTACTTCTTTCATTGCTTCACTAGCTTAATAAAAGCAGGAAATGCTACTATAAAACAGAAAGTAGGTACCAGATAGAAAGATTTATGTACAATTTATGGACACCAAGTAAAAGACTCTGAAGCTGTTACAGCTTTATCAGCAGCTGACATTCAAAACAAACAAATCTTACTCTTGAGGATAGGTATGACAAGCATCAAAACGCTCTGTTTCATGAAGCAAATGAATCCTGAGCCAATCCTCTGCATGGCTGAACACAGGATTTACTGTTATCATTGCAAAGTTCTTACTTTTTGGGTCCTACTTGGCCCACGTTGACTCGCACACAGATGACTTTTCTCGTCTGCATGCCAACAGAACATGAGGCCTCCCCATTCCTAGCTGTAGTTGTGTTGAAGGATGACACTGAGGTGTCCTCAATGCACTGTCCCCAGGGACCAGTTTGCCAGTGGTATACAGTACAAGGATGGTCATTGCAGCTGCGTGTCTCTTGCAAAGCACTGCTGTTTGGACAGTGAATTCCACCTATAAAAATGGACAATGATAGCATATTAAACATAGAACCAACAAGAACCTTACCATTCTCTGTTCCTTGGAAATAACATGGCTAACAACTAAGATACCTTCCACTTTTTAGCACATAGCATTTTACTGGCGCACTACTAGAAAAAACATTACTGATCAATCTTACCGCAGTTTAGCATGATCTAGTTGGCATTCCTCATTAGTAAATGTAAACATCTTCAGTGTGTTAGTATGAAGAAATACTAAAGCTAATTATGAATATGTTGCTTTCTGTGTATAAGTTTTAAAGTTTGACTTTGTGTTAAAAATAAAAAACATATATATACTAAAAGTAACTAAACTGTTTATTAAATTCTTAATTGTTTAAGGTTAAAGTGCATATTGAAAGTGTCTCTGGAGAATTTTTTTTTGCCAATAAAGTGTATTAAGAGTTCTTAGTTTAAAAACAAAAACATGTGATGCACATGATACTTGATTCTGAGGACTATGGAGGACCTTAAAGGGATAGGGTATTATTCTCCAGAGAAGTTGAACTTGAGGTACAATAAAGTCCATATGATTACCAACAGGAAGAAACAGTAATGTTGAGCTTCTGTGCATGAAGATGACTGAGTGAGTTTTCAAATGTTATGCCCCAAATTAAGAGTCTTAGTTCCACGTTTTAAAACAATGCTTATTTTAGTGTGCTAGGTTCATGGGTGACTAGGAATAGGCATGTTAAGATTGAATGACACTTTATGATCTTCCAGAGCATTAATAGAAAAGCCATCCTCTCAGGATAATATTCCTTAAATCTGATACTTCAGTGGTTGTGCAATGCACATTCATTGTATGTGTCCCAAATAAAAACAAATGGATGCAAATTAAACTATGATGCAATGACTTCTGCTCAACTCTAATTTTTCATCTATGCTATTAAAATAATTTTGTGTAACAATTGCATAGTTTATTTACATCACCCTCTTGAATATATTAAAAGGAGAGGTATTCAAATAACTCACAGAGTTCAAACCTTTTGAGTCCTTTTTAAACTCACACTCATGGAAGGCTGTTTTCCTATACAGTATCATCATCTGTGTTATCAAAGTTGTTGCCTATATTGTATTTCTTATAGAGTTCTCTCGTTGTCTCCAGAATTTTCTTTCAGGATACTGACTTTCTTCTCTAGGTTTGGTTCCATCTGTTGATGTAAGTCTTAAGCAAACAATTAAGATTTATCTCCCTTCCTCAGATAGTCCATGGCTGTGTTTGCTTGTCTGTTTTTGGCAGAAAGAATATGGGACTTCCAATTCCACCAGAATAACAGTGTTCACAAATTTAGGCAATGACAACTGTCACAAGTGTTCCACGACCATGGTAGTTTCAAAATGCCTAAGTGTAAATTGCAATAAATCCAGAGACATAAGGGTAAGACATATACATCCTTTAATCAATAGAATATGGTGTGAAATGCTTTTCATATGCTAGCCCTGCTATACATGCTTCATAGGTGGGGCCTCATTTTGTATTCACAGCTGTTGTATTTAAAACATTAACTGACTAAGCTCAAACTGGTGTGACAGCCACTGGAACAATGAAGAATTTGGAAAGCTCAGTTTTTACCACTGTGGTATTTCTGATGCCAATTATGAAAAAAAAATTATATTGGTATAGGTAGAACTGGGAGGAATTTGTTGCTTACATTATTGATAATATGATTCCAGGGCCACACCCTGAAATGATCTTCAGATATTATTTCCCTTATGTTTAAGGATGTCTCTCTATTCAGTAAATAAGTCATTAAGCAGTTTATGTAAGAACTTAATAGCAATTTAGAATCCTTTATGTAGTACTGAATGTAGTCTTAACATCTGAATAACCTGCATTAAACAGGACTTCTTTAATGTTCCCTCCTTTGAGGAAGGTGAAAATATCTGTCACAGCTCATATCCTATCTTCCATCATTCAGTTCAGCGACCCTGGTAACTCCTGAAAAGAAGTTAAGGATTTGAATAGAATAGAATCTTAAAATATACTAATTGAATTGGGGAGAAGAAAATGAGCATTCCTATTGCACATTCCCTGAGGCACTGGCTTTATTCGATCTTAACTTGCAGATAAACACATACTAATTATAAGTTTTATACATATACTTCTACAATTGTTTATAAATTTCTTTATATCTAATCCTAAAATTACTCACCTATAAAATATTCCTTTACTTATACATTTTCAGCGTCAATATAAGTGTGGTTTTTAAACTGTTATTTTAAGGCTCTGAATTGTTTTTGACATTGGAATTGACTGATTGGCTTTGGAAAAATGATTAAAAAAAAACCTTTTACAACATCAGAATAATGTGTCTAGGAACTACAAGATAGCTGTTAAGTTTATAGACATGAAGGCTATTTATTTTCTTGCTCCAGTCCATATTAAATCTACATCAGCAGTTTGTGTCTGATGTCGGGACCCTTGCACAGATAAGCCCCAATGCGGTCTTAATTAGAACAACAATATGGCAATTTTGGAAGTCTGGTTCGGAGTAATCAGTGACTGAAGCATCATCATGCTGTTTGGGGAATAACAGCTTGGTAGAAAAATTGATAAATAAATATTGAGTATTATCTATTATTTATGGGAAGATCTAATTCCACACATTTGAGAATGTTTTCAGAGTACTGGAGAAATTATAAAATGTGACCTATGCAAAATTAGTAATAAGTGTATTTGTAAAAATCTTCTTATAAATAAAAATATATGCTTCATGTTGTTACCACTATTTATATTTTCGAACATTTCATCACAAGCAAGGAATTTATGAGACCTGAATGAAATTTTGCTATATAAATAAACCTTAATGTTTCCATAAGAATACCAAGTATGTGAAACTTATCTTTTAGAAATAAAAAAGTGACTTTTTCCCTCCCAACAACTTCATAAAAACTTTCTTAGGATAAATTCAATCCAAGATATGGTGTTTTTCATTCTAGCATTCATATTCTTATAATTCATATGATAGATAAATAAAGAATCCTCTTCAAAACAATTGTATGCATGTGTATTTTTTGTGAAATTCATGCAGGATACTTCAAGGGAAACCAGAGTTTGGAAATAGCTCCTGCTACTTTCAAGATCCTATATGCAGAGAAAAGAATAGGAAGGGTGATAAGACAAGCATAAAGATGAGTGTTATTCTACATGAAATGTAATAATTATGTTAAGAGAGGTATTTAATGTAGCTAGGATTCAGAGGAATAAGATTTTATTATGTTCTGGTGACTGAAAAATATCTGAAGTAGTAGGCATTGAGATGAGTTTTGAAAGGGTAGAATTTTGAAAAACAGAGTAGAAAATAGAGAAGGAAGGAGAAGTTTATCTAAGCAGAAGAAAAGTAAATGAAAGCAAAGGCATGCAGACAGGTATAACTTTGACAATTAGCAATATTGTTGTAGTCCATTGAAGGGTAGAGTTCATATGTGAAAGTAACTGGCAACAAGAACAAGGAAGGGGCCCAGGCCCATGCTATGAAGAGGGAATATGGTGTTTCTAAATTTGTCTGCACTTGTAGCCGAAATCCTTGTCAGGGCAGACCACTGGTGGGTGAAAAGCATGTTGAAAAGGCTGTGCTTTGGGAGAACTGACTAATAGTATCAGCTTGATACTCAGGAGAGTCTGCTGCAGCACAGCAAATCCTGCTTCTCCCTTTCTCCTGGTGGAAAGAGAGAGACTTCCCACTGTGGAGCCCAAATAAATCTTGTGCGGTGGTCATAAGGGACAGATTGATGCACAATTTCCTTTTCAAAGTCAATAGTGGAAGGATGAAGAAGTGCTAGTATTTACTTAGAAAATAAAATATGCATGTCTGCATTCAGATTATTGATACTAGGTTCCTTGAATTCCTCTAGCAAATATTACTGTTTCCTGTGTTTTAGGATTAACTGTAAAAATTGAATGAGTTAAATAGAAAGAATATTTCCTCCATGTTTTGTATTGTAAAATATAATTTTTGAATACTACCAATTATTTGAGAAAATGTAGCATAATCCTATTTCAATCTGCATCTATTATCTGCATATTTAAAGCAGATGTAAAGGAACACTGGTATTTGATGAAGTTAGGTCAGATCATTCTGAACTTCGCAAAAGTAAATAGTTTGTCATTTTTGTTCTATAAGGATAATTAACTAAATAACGAAAAATAACTGTTACTATGCTCAGTGAAAAACATTTTGTAAATAATTTTTTCTTTCTAAAATGAATTTTGTTGAAGATCTCCACAGGCATTCAGAAAATTGACCAGCCTAAAAATCTAACATCAATTTTAATTATTTGTTCACACTCAACATAACCTATATTAAATATAGGCCAGACTTCATTAATAAAAGACTACTTTCTTTTAGAGTTTCTCAACATAACTTTAAAGTACCTTTGGGGACAAATCTTACAGTTCAGTTTATATAATATAAAGAAAAAAGTTGAAAAAGTAAATTATCAATCTTATTTAACCAGAAGAAGATACACACACACACAAAATACACAGAAATACAAATGCTTTTTTTTTAATGTAAAAAGAATTACTCTTACTTTCTCCAGTATAGTAAGTATCTGTAGTGGCTACCATTTGTGATTTAGTTTCCAAATGATACTTCAGAAAGAATAATTTAATAACTATTTTTGTGTATTTTTGATATTAGATTACATAATATTATTCAACATTTTCTGGAGAGCAATTACATAAGAAATTGTTTTTATTCTATTATTATTACTATTATTAACTTTAGTTTTGAACAAATCTCAGAAGTATAGTAAAATTAAAGTGTAGCATCAATAATTTTTCCTGGATCATTTAGAAGTTAATGAAATGATACCCAATACCCTAATATGTTAGTGTGTATTTTTTATAATTGAGACATTCTTCTGCACATGGACACATTCAATATCACATATCTATGCATATAGATATAGACACATATGTCACAGATACATAAGAAGAAGACTGGATAAACTGGGACAGGACCAATA